ACTTTGTGGAGATTGGAGACTGTGTCTCAGATCATATGGCCCTGACCTGTGGAGTACCACAGGGGTCGATCCTGGGACCTCTTCTGTTCAATCTCTACATGCTGCCGTTAGGTCAGTTAATACGCAGAAACAAAGTTTCCTATCATAACTATGCAGACGACACTCAGATCTATGTCTCACTGACTGCAGGAGAACATGGACCAGTGGACTCACTCCTTCACTGTATCCAACAGATCAGTGAGTGGATGCAAAACAACTTCCTTCAGCTAAACGCAGACAAAACTGAAATGATTGTCTTTGGTCCCCAGAAACAAAGAGAGAGCGTCATCTGTCATCTACAGTCTCTCTCCCTAAAACCTTCAAACAAGGTCAGAAATCTAGGGGTAATACTGGACTCAGACTTAAATTTTAATAGCAGAAGAACAGAGAGAGAGAGACCAGAGAGAGACACCAGAGGGAGAGAGAACATAGAGAGAGAAACCAGAGAGAGAGACCAGAGGGAGAGAGACCAGAGAGAGACCAGAGACAGAACAGAGAGAGAGAGAGACCAGAGACAGACCAGAGAGAGAGACCAGAGGGAGACCAGAGACAGAACAGAGAGAGAGAGACCAGAGAGAGGCCAGAGAGAGACCAGAGAGAGACCAGAAAGAGACCAGAGAGAGACCAGTGAGAGAGATCAGAGAGAGACCAGAGAGGGAACATAGAGCGAGGCCATGTCAGTTTTGTGAGTACAGTTTGGATCATAGTTATGACCATGTGAGAGCAGAGGCCACACCCCCTGGTGGACAACAACGGTGCTTCCTGGTGTCACCATGTGTTAATGCAGAGCTCAGGTGGGATCATGGAGGTGGACAGATCTGCTGACACACACATACACACACACGCACACATACACACACACGCACACACACACCCACACACACACATACACACACATACGCACACACACACACATGGTTTCGGGTCCTTTCACTTCGTCAATAAACGTTTAAGAGTGGACAGCTGCTGAGGGAGCACTTTACCGGGACCACAACAACACCTACACTCCTCTGTGTCTAGAGAGAGAGACCAGAGAGGGAGACCAGAGAGACACCAGAAAGAAAACAGAAAGAGACCAGAGAGAGACCAGAGAGAGACCAGAGAGAGACCAGAGAGAGAGAGGCCAGAGGAAAAGACCAGAGAGAGATCATAGAGAGACCAGAGAGAGGCCAGAGAGAGATCATAGAGAGACCAGAGACCAACCAGAGACCAACCAGAGAGAGGCCAGAGACCAGAGACTAACCAGAGAGAGACCAGACAGAGAGCAGAGACCAGAGACCAGAGACCAACCAGAGAGAGACCAGAGAGAGAGACCAGAGAGAGACCAGCGAGAGAGACCAGAGAGAGACCAGGGGGAGAGAGACGATTTATGTTTTGGTTTATTGTTTATTTGTTTGGTACAGTGCATGTTAATGGACGCTCCTCACCCTGAACTCTTGTGCAGGTTTTTTGTAGTGGTGGGAGAAACCGGAGCACCTGGAGGGTACTCGGGACACGGGGAGAACATGCAAACTTCACACAGATGACCCTTCAGTCCTTGCTTCAGTCCTGGTCCAGTCCAATTGCTGCTGTTCCCCTCTTCTTCCTCTCCCCCTCCTCCTCTCCACTCCTCCCCCCTCTCCTACTCTCTTCTCCTCCCCCTCCTCCTCCCTCATCTCTCCTCCCCCCTCTCCCCCTCCCCCCTCTCCTCTCCTCCCCCCTCTCCCCCTCCCCCTCCTCTCCCCCTTCTCTCCGCATCCCTAAACTGTCCATCGCTGAATCAGCTCCTTCACAGCGAAGCAGGAGGAGGAGTTATCACCACCGCCGCATATTCACACACACACACACACAGTCACACACACACACAGTCACACACACACAGACGCACACACAGACACACACACACACACACACAGACACACACAGACGCACACCGGTGTCTTTCCCCATGCCGTAGCCCGCTGTCCCGCCCTGGAATCCCTCGTCCTGCAGCGTCCACCGCAGACACTGGAGCTTCACAAATATTCTCTTTACAAACGCTGGAACTTTTTTTACTCCTGGTCCTGGTGCTGGTCCTGGTCTTGGTCCTGGTCCTGTCCTGGTCCGGTCCAGGTGGCCCCGTACCAGGAGGCAGCTGTGACCCGGGACTCTACTGCATCACTCGGGACAGGGCTGTTTTCTGTGGCTTTGGTTTGGTCTGGTTTCTGTCGGAAGTTTTGACCTTCGCCGCTGCTGGGACCACGTGCGTCCCGGCCGAGGAGAGGAGACGAGGAGGTAGGAAGTAGGAGTCACCGGAGGAGATGAGGAGGTAGGAGTTATGAGAGGGTGAAACTGGAGACGGGACGCAGGAAGTGGACACTGTGTTCAGAGGGAGTCACAAAGGGACGAGTTGGGATGGAGTTGGGGTCCTGCTTTAGACCTGCGTTTGACCTGCTTTAGACCTGCTTTAGTACTGCTTTAGTCCTGCTTTAGACCTGCTTTAGTCCTGCTTTAGGTCTGCTTTAGACCTGCTTTAGACCTGCTTTAGTCCTGCTTTAGTCCTGCTTTAGACCTGCTTTAGTCCTGCTTTAGACCTGCTTTAGTCCTGCTTTAGTCCTGCTTTAGTCCTGCTTTAGTCCTGCTTTAGTCCTGCTTTAGACCTGCTTTAGTCCTGCTTTAGTCCTGCTTTAGACCTGCGTTTGACCTGCTTTAGACCTGCTTTAGTACTGCTTTAGTCCTGCTTTAGTCCTGCTTTAGACCTGCTTTAGTCCTGCACTCTCGCCTCTCAGCAAGAAGGTCCTGGGTTCGAATCCCGGTCGGACCAGGGCCTTTCTGAGTGGAGTTTGCATGTTCTCCCCGTGTCTGCGTAGGTTTCCTCCGGGTACTCCGGTTTCCCCTACCACTAAAAATATGTCCAATAGTTCTGGCATGTGCCTCCTGTACTGGCCCCGCTCCCATCTCTGTGTGGAGTGAGAGACAAATGCCCAAAATTAACAATTGTAAACCGCTTTGAGACTCAGATCTGCAGTGAAAAGGCGGTATATAAATAAAGATTACTACTACTAAAGATTACCTGCTTTAGACCTGCTTTAGTCCTGCTTTAGTCCTGCTTTAGTCCTGCTTTAGACCTGCTTTAGACCTGCTTTAGTCCTGCTTTAGTCCTGCTTTAGACCTGCTTTAGTCCTGCTTTAGTCCAGTCCTGGTCTAAATGTTGGGGTCTTGTGTGCAGTAATGCGGTCGCTGTATCAGACTGTTGTGGTGAAGAGGGAGCAGCGTCTTCAGTCAGAGCTCTCCGTCCCTCCTTCACCTCAGGACATGAGCTTCCTCCACATGGAGAGGAGCCAGTGGAGGTGGGATGGGACCAGGAGGAGGCCAGGAGGAGACCAGGAGGAGGCCAGGAGGAGACCAGGAGGAGACCGGGAGGAGACCAGATGAGCTGGAGGGTGTGTGGGAGGGATTTGTCTCTGCTCAGACTGCTGCCCTCAGGACCCGGCAACGGATAAAGTGGAAGAAAATGGATGCAGTATTTACTATCTACAGATGAATGACATGCACTGACTCAGCAGTCCTTGTTGTACAATCTGACAGCAACAGGAAGGAAAGACCTCATACGGCTCTACGTGTCAGGCAGTCCTGTTTCAGACCTGGTTCAGGCCTGTCAGTCCTGGTCCAGTCCTGGTCCAGTCCTGGTTCGGACCTGGTCCAGTCTTGGCTAGGACCTGGTTCAGACCAGGTTCAGACCTGGTTCAGACCTGGTTCCCCAGTCCTTCTGTGGATCCCACTCATGACAACATAGAGCTCTGAGTGCAGACGCTGCTCCTTCTCCACAGTCCGTTACAGCTCAGCAGGGCAGGGCCTGGTCAGGATTGTGATGGGAGACCTGAGAGTACGAGTGTAGTGGCTCAGATAGTAGCCTCCCTCCTCCCCCCCCTCCCTCCTCCTCCTCCCTCCTCCTCCCCCCTCCTCCCTCCTCCTCCCCCCTCCTCCCCCTCCTCCTCCCTCCTCTCCCTCTCCTCCCTCCTCCTCCCTCCTCCTCCCCCCTCCTCCTCCCCCCTCCTCCCCCCTCCTCCCTCCTCCTCCCCCTCCTCCCCCCTCCTCCCTCCTCCTCCCTCCTCCTCCCTCCTCCCTCCTCCTCCCCCCTCCTCGCCCCTCCTCCCTCCTCCTCCCTCCTCCCCCCTCCTCCCTCCTCCTCCCTCCTCCCCCCTCCTCCCTCCTCCTCCCTCCTCCTCCCTCCTCCCCCCTCCTCCCCTCCTCCTCCCTCCTCCTCCCTCCTCCTCCCCCCTCACCCTGCAGTGGGTAAAAGGACATGATTTATTTCTTCAGGTAAAAACAGTTCAGAGGCAAATAATGTTTAAAAGACACACACAGACACACACACACACAGGTTACACACACACACTCACATACACACACACACACACTCACGCACACACACACACACACACACACTCACACATACACACAATCAATACCAATTTAAAGGTAAATACAAAAGGCTGAGTTGCACTTTCTTGGATGATTCTGTCAGACTAATGAGGAGCACAGCGCCCCCTGTGGTCTGCTCTATAGCACCCCCTGTGGTCTGCTCTATAGCGCCCCCTGTGGTCTGCTCTATAGAACACTCCAGTCCTGCCGTATCGCTCTGAGCTCTGCCTCTTTATGCACATCTTACACTAAGCCACTCGCACAACACAAACCTAACAGTAGAGACCATAGGCTGTATATAGATGGATAATGCTAACCTGCTAGCTCAATGCTAACCCACCAGCTCAATGCTAACCCACTAGCTCAATGCTAACCCAACAGCTCCATGCTAACCCACCAGCTCCATGCTAACCCACCAGCTCCATGCTAACCCACCAGCTCCATGCTAACCCACCAGCTCCATGCTAACCCACCAGCTCCATGCTAACCCACCAGCTCCATGCTAACCCACCAGCTCCATGCTAACCCACCAGCTCCATGCTAACCCACCAGCTCCATGCTAACCCACCAGCTCCATGCTAACCCACCAGCTCCATGCTAACCCACCAGCTCCATGCTAACCCACCAGCTCCATCTGCTGAAATCTGTGGTTTCTCGCTCTCTGTGATCCCAGTGTTTGTTGTGATATTGCTCATAAGCCTGCTGCTTCTGATTGGCTGCTGGTAACTCGCTCGCTGCTTCCCACACTTTTGTCTCCAGGTTCCTGCTAACACTAATGTCACACTCTGTCCTCTGTCTGTGGGGGACACCTGTCTGTGGGGGACACCTGTCTGTGGGGACACATGTCTGTGGGGACACCTGTCTGTGGGTACACCTGTCTGTGGGGACACCTGTCTGTGGGGACACATGTCTCTGGGGACACCTGTCTGTGGGGACACCTGTCTGTGGGGGACACCTGTCTCTGGGGACACCTGTCTGTGGGGACACATGTCTGTGGGGACACCTGTCTGTGGGTACACCTGTCTGTGGGGACACCTGTCTGTGGGGACACATGTCTCTGGGGACACCTGTCTGTGGGGACACCTGTCTGTGGGGGACACCTGTCTCTGGGGACACCTGTCTGTGGGGACACATGTCTGTGGGGACACCTGTCTCTGGGGACACCTGTCTGTGGGGACACCTGTCTGTGGGGGACATCTGTCTGTGGGGACACCTCTGTTGGGACACCTGTCTGTGGGGACACCTGTCTGTGGGGACACCTCTGTTGGGACACCTGTCTGTGGGGACACCTGTCTCTGGGGACACCTGTCTGTGGGGGACACCTGTCTCTGGGGACACCTGTCTGTGGGGACACATGTCTGGGGGGGACACCTGTCTGTGGGGACACATGTCTCTGGGGACATCTGTCTGTGGGGACACCTGTCTGTGGGGGACACCTGTCTCTGGGGACACCTGTCTGTGGGGACACATGTCTGTGGGGACACCTGTCTGTGGGTACACCTGTCTGTGGGGACACCTGTCTGTGGGGACACATGTCTCTGGGGACACCTGTCTGTGGGGACACCTGTCTGTGGGGGACACCTGTCTCTGGGGACACCTGTCTGTGGGGACACATGTCTGTGGGGACACCTGTCTGTGGGGGACATCTGTCTGTGGGGACACCTGTCTGTGGGGACACCTCTGTTGGGACACCTGTCTGTGGGGACACCTGTCTGTGGGGACACCTCTGTTGGGACACCTGTCTGTGGGGACACCTGTCTGTGGGGACACCTGTCTGTGGGGGACACCTGTCTGTGGGGACACCTGTCTGTGGGGGACAACTGTCTGTGGGGACACCTGTCTGTGGGGGACACCTGTCTGTAGGGGACAACTGTCTGTGGGGACATCTGTCTGTGGGGACACCTGTCTGTGGGGGACACCTGTCTGTGGGGGACACCTGTCTGTGGGTACACCTGTCTGTTGGGACACCTGTCTGTAGGGACACCTGTCTGTGGGGGACAGCTGTCTGTGGGGGACACCTGTCTTAGGGGACACCTGTCTGTGGGACACCTGTCTGTGGGGGACACCTGTCTGTGGGGGACACCTGTCTGTGGGGGACATCTGTCTGTGGGGACACCTGTCTGTGGGGACACCTCTGTGGGTACAGCTGTCTGTGGGGGACATCTGTCTGTGGGGGACACCTGTCTGTGGGGACACCTGTCTGTGGGGGACACCTGTCTGTGGGGACACCTCTGTCGGAACACCTGTCTGTGGGGACACCTGTCTGTGGGGGACACCTGTCTGTGGGGGACATCTGTCTGTGGGGACACCTGTCTGTGGGGACACCTTTGTGGGTACAGCTGTCTGTGGGGGACATCTGTCTGTGGGGTAAATGTGTCTGTGGGGGACACCTGTCTGTGGGGACATCTGTTTGTGGGGACACCTGTCTGTGGGGGACACCTGTCTGTGGGGACACCTCTGTGGGTACACCTGTCTGTGGGGGACATCTGTCTGTGGGGACACCTGTCTGTGGGGACACCTTTGTGGGTACAGCTGTCTGTGGGGGACATCTGTCTGTGGGGTAAATGTGTCTGTGGGGGACACCTGTCTGTGGGGACATCTGTTTGTGGGGACACCTGTCTGTGGGGGACACCTGTCTGTGGGGACACCTCTGTGGGTACACCTGTCTGTGGGGACACCTGTCTGTGGGGGACACCTGTCTGTGGGGACACCTGTCTGTGGGGACACCTGTCTGTGGGTACACCTGTCTGTGGGTACACCTGTCTGTGGGGGACACCTGTCTGTGGGGACACCTGTCTGTGGGGGACACCTGTCTGTGGGGGACACCTGTCTGTGGGGACACCTGTCTGTGGGGACACCTGTCTGTGGGGGACATCTGTCTGTGGGAACATGTGTCTGTGGGGACACCTGTCTGTGGGGGACATACTTCTTCTTCAGTCCATATGAAAGTGAAACTGTGGAATGTAAAGAAGTATGTATCTCAGGACTGAGGCTCGCAGCAAAAACTCCAGAAGAAAACAGGCTCTGTTCAAACCCTGGTCTTGGTCTTGGTCTTGGTCTTAGTCCTGGTCCTAGTCCTGGTATTGGTCCTCCAACCATGTTGTGGTCCCAGCGGAAGTCACTTCTCAGCAAGGCTTTTGAGGGGCTAACAAGCCCTGTCCTGCTGAGGTCTGAGGTCTCCCATCACAGCACTAACCAAGCCCTGTCCTGCTGGGGTCTGAGGTCTCCCATCACAGCACTGACCAGGCCCTGTCCTGCTGAGGTCTCCCATCACAGCACTGACCAGGCCCTGTCCTGCTGAGGTCTGAGGGATCTGACTTTCAGCTGCAGGTGGCGCTATACACTTGTGTTTGGATATTGTCTTTGCCCAAACTTCTGACCAATCAGGAGCCTTCTCCCGCTGTGCTCTCGGTGACTCACATTCACAGAGAGCCGTTTGGAGTTAGCTCTAATCTGCTTCTTCTGCGCTAAAGCTAACCCTCTGATGTCACACTCTGGCCTGGTGATGTCACACTCTGGCCTGGTGATGTCACACTCTGGCCTCCGTCCTGTGCGTGGAGTTTGCATGTTCTTCCTGTGTTCTTCCGGTGCTCCACTTTCCACTACAACATTTGATCTGGTCTGACCCCTCTCTCCACCTCTCTCTCTCTCTCTCTCCCCCACCTCTCCCCCCTCTCCCCTCCTCTCTCTCTCTCTCTCTCTCCCCCACCTCTCCCCCCTCTCCCCTCCTCTCTCTCTCTCTCTCCCCCTCCCCCCCACCTCTCCCCCCTCTCCCCTCCTCTCTCTCTCTCTCTCCCCCTCCCCCCCACCTCTCCCCCTTCTCCTCTCTCTCTCTCTCCCCCCTCCCCCCACCTCTCCCCCTTCTCCCTCCTCTCTCTCTCCCCCTCCCTCCACCACCTCTTCCCCCTCCTCTCTCTCTCTCCCCCCTCCCCCCCACCTCTCCCCCCTCTCCCCTCCTCTCTCTCTCTCTCCCCCTCCCCCCCACCTCTCCCCCTTCTCCCCTCCTCTCTCTCTCCCCCTCCCTCCACCACCTCTTCCCTCCTCTCTCTCTCTCCCCCTCCCCCCCACCTCTCCCCTTCTTCCCTCCTCTCTCTCTCTCCCCTCCTCTCTCTCTCTCCCCCTCCCCCCCACCTCTCCCCCTTCTCCCCCTCCTCTCTCTCTCTCTCCCCCTCCCTCCCCCACCTCTCCCCTCCTCTCACTCTCTCTCTCCCCCTCCCCCCACCTCTCCCCCCTCTCCCCTCCTCTCTCTCTCTCCCCCTCCCCCCCACCTCTCCCCCTTCTCCCCTCCTCTCTCTCTCTCCCCCTCCCCCCCACCTCTCCCCCTTCTCCCCTCCTCTCTCTCTCCCCCTCCCTCCACCACCTCTTCCCTCCTCTCTCTCTCTCCCCCTCCCCCCCACCTCTCCCCCTTCTTCCCTCCTCTCTCTCTCTCCCCTCCTCTCTCTCTCTCCCCCTCCCCCCCACCTCTCCCCCTTCTCCCCTCCTCTCTCTCTCCCCCTCCCTCCCCCACCTCTCCCCTCCTCTCACTCTCTCTCTCCCCCTCCCCCCCACCTCTCCCCCTCTCCCCCCTCCTCTCTCTCTCTCCCCCCTCCCCCCCACCTCTCCCCCCTCTCCCCTCCTCTCTCTCTCCCCCTCCCTCCACCACCTCTCCCCTCCTCTCTCTCTCTCCCCCTCCCCCCACCTCTCCCCCTTCTCCCCTCCTCTCTCTCTTCTTTTGCAGTGTGAGCCGGTTCCAAGGGCGACGGGTCCTCGATAATCGATAAACGCTGAGTCAAGTCTGCGGATCCCGAGCCTCCGGGGATTCTGCTGACACCGCGTCTCCACGGCAACGGGGGTCCAGCAGGGTCCAGCAGGGTCCAGCAGGGTCCACAGTGTGACATCACCACAGTGTTAGCCTTAATGCAAGAGAAGCTTATCTGAACATAAGCTGGAGCCAGTTTCCTTTTTTGGGCATTTGTTCTGACGGTGTTAGCTTAGCGCTGTATGGGACAGACCATGGATCTATAATAATTACTGGATAGTGTAATACTAGCTTACAGCTGAAGCCTCCATGGCCTCGGGGGCTCATGACCACAGCTGAGCCTGACAGAGAACCTGACAGAGAACCTGACAGAGAACCTACAGAGAACCTGACAGAGAACCTGACAGAGAACCTACAGAGAACCTGACAGAGAACCTGACAGAGAACCTGACAGAGGACCTGACAGAGGACCTGACAGAGGACCTGACAGAGAACCTGACAGAGAACCTGACAGAGAACCTGACAGAGAACCTAACAGAGAACCTACAGAGAACCTGACAGAGAACCTGACAGAGAACCTACAGAGAACCTGCAGAGAACCTGACAGAGAACCTGACAGAGAACCTGACAGAGAACCTGACAGAGAACCTGACAGAGGACCTGACAGAGGACCTGACAGAGAACCTACAGAGAACCTGCAGAGAACCTGACAGAGAACCTGACAGAGAACCTGACAGATAACCTACAGAGAACCTGACAGAGAACCTACAGAGAACCTGACAGAGAACCTGACAAAGAACCTGACAGAGAACCTGACAGAGAACCTACAGAGAACCTGACAGATAACCTACAGAGAACCTGACAGAGAACCTACAGAGAACCTGACAGAGAACCTGACAGAGAACCTGACAAAGAACCTGACGGAGAACCTACAGAGAACCTGACAGAGAACCTGACAGAGAACCTACAGAGAACCTGACAGAGAACCTACAGAGAACCTGACAGAGAACCTGACAGAGAACCTACAGAGAACCTGACAGAGAACCTGACAGAGAACCTAACAGAGAACCTGACAGAGAACCTACAGAGAACCTGACAGAGAACCTACAGAGAACCTGACAGAGAACCTGACAGAGAACCTAACAGAGAACCTACAGAGAACCTGACAGAGAACCTGACAGAGAACTTGACAAAGAACCTGACAGAGAACCTGACAGAGAACCTACAGAGAACCTGACAGAGAACCTAACAGAGAACCTACAGAGAACCTGACAGAGAACCTGACAGAGAACCTGACAGAGAACCTGACAGAGAACATACAGAGAACCTGACAGAGAACATACAGAGAACCTGACAGAGAACTTGACAGAGAACCTGACAGAGAACCTACAAAGAACCTACAGAGAACCTACAGAGAACCTGACAGACAACCTACAGAGAACCTGACAGAGAACCTGACAGAGAACCTGACAGAGAACATACAGAGAACCTGACAGAGAACCTGACAGAGAACCTACAAAGGAGCTACAGAGAACCTACAGAGAACCTGACAGAGAACCTGACAGAGAACCTGACAGAGAACCTGACAGAGAACCTACAGAGAACCTGACAGAGAACCTGACAGAGAACCTGACAGAGAACCTGACAGAGAACCTACAGAGAACCTGACAGACAACCTACAGAGAACCTGACAGACAACCTACAGAGAACCTGACAGAGAACCTACAGCTTTCATAAAGGAGGATTCTGTGGATGTTTGTGTCTCTTATCGTCCTCAACTTTTTTTCTTGTTAAATCCTCTGGTGCAAAGCATTATGGGAGGTCGTCCACTGCACAGAACCAGGAGAACCAGACACATGACCAAATATGGGCGAGTTCCTCTAATCTTTTGGTGCCACTGAACTCAAGCCATTGATTTGAACCCACCGCCATCTTTGATCGCCAGGGCTTGGGGCAGACGTGTTGCTAAGACAGTTGCTAAGACAAACTGGAGTTTCCCCTGTGAATGAAGGCCTCTGATTGGTCAGTCCTTTTATGGTCATATCTGGATTCACAAAGACAACATCACATATAAACAGCAGGATCACAGTGAGTGAGGAACCACAGATTTAAGCCCAAAAAGGTGAATGTGAGTTTACTTTTACCTGGAAGTCAATAAGAGCAGAGAGAGGAGCCAAACTTCACCATGAGCACTTCCCTATTGGGTTAGATTGAGCTCACGTCCCCCAGCTTTAAACTCTACAGTGAGTTTTTTCTCTTGTTGCAGAATTCAACCCAGAAAACTTCCTCCTGTGACTGAAAAATGCACCTCCTCCTGGTCCACCTCACCCACTCCTGGTCCACCTCACCTCCTCCTGGTCCTCCTCGCCTCCTCCTGATCCTCCTGTCCGTCTCCCGTGTCCCAGAATGCTTTGCTGAAGCTGGTAAAATGGAACCAAATCACAGGTTGAATGGATTTGGTCCCCTTCAACCAGCTGTGGCTGCGCAGACAACTGCATCGGCACACCAGCAGGAGGCGCTGTGTCCTCACTATGTTCTCCTCCTTCTCCTTCCTCCCTTTTCTCCTCTATCTCGCCCCTCTTCTTTCTCACTTCTCTCCTCTCTTTTTCCTTGCATCTCTCCTCCTCTCTCCACTTTGTCCTCCTTTCTCTCCTCTCTTGCCCCTCTCCATCTTGCCTCTCTCCTTCTCCCCCTCTCTCCCCTACACCCTCTCCTCTCTCTATCTTTTCTCCTCTCTCCCCTCTTACCTCCTCCCTCCTCTTCTCTCCCCTCTCTCCTCCCTCCTCCTCTTACTGGATTACATATTGAAGCTATTGCAGAGGTTAGGGGTGCTTTCACACCTGTTGGTCCACTAAAGTGGGTAGTCTGCTCTAACTGCCCTGCCTTGATCTCTCTCTGGTCTCTCTCTGGTCTCTCTCTGGTCTCTCTCTGGTCTCTCTGGTCTCTCTCTGGTCTCTCTCTGGTCTCTCTGGTCTCTCTGGTCTCTCTCTGGTCCCTCTCTGGTCTCTCTCTGGTCTCTCTCTGGTCTCTCTCTGGTCTCTCTCTGGTCTCTCTGGTCTCTCTCTGGTCTCTCTCTGGTCTCTCTTTGGTCTCTCTTTGGTCTCTCTTTGGTCTCCCTCTGGTGTCCCTCTGGTCTCTCTCTGGTCTCTCTCTGGTGTCTCTCTGGTCTCTCTCTGGTCTCTCTCTGGTCTCTCTCTGGTCTCTCTCT